AGAGAGAGAGAGAGAGAGAGAGAGAGAGAGAGAGAGAGAGCTTTCGTTAGTTCTGGACAAAGAATGCCAGCCCTTTTTGTGTTCATTTGGCAAAGGGTTGCAATGCAGAGCAAAGACACTGCATGGGAGTTCCATTAATAAACATTGCTTATATATATATATATTTCTCACTTACTTAGCTTTGGTGTGTCCATTCCAACAATCCTCTTCATTAGACATGCCAGCAGTCACTGTTTCTTCCTTGCAGATGGTGTAGGGTAACGTAGACCAGAACTTTTTTGAAAGCTTTAGTTTTTCTTTAATGTCAATTACCTAATTGCAAGAGAAAGGGAAGGTATTGGGTTAAAAAAATCGGTAAGCTCAATAAATATAGTGTATGTACTAGGATCGGGAAGGAGTGGTGCGGTGGCCTAGAGGTGGAGCTCTCACCTCATAATCAGGAGGCTGTGAGTTCGATCCTAGGTAGAGGCAGATATTTCTCCCTCTGGGCACAATTGGAATATATCTGCTGAGCAAAACTCCGCATTGGCGACAGGAAGAGCATCCGGCCATTCAAACACTCTGCTAGCTCCATTCAGTTGCCCAGACTCCACCCCACATGGGATTATGTTAAATGATCAGGGTCAAGCTACAGGATAAAGGCCCTATGGCCATGCAGGCTGGGATCCTTGAATGACATATCTGCAACAACCCAGGATATGCTAGGTTGGCTGGATCTGGGCTGTTGGGCCCTACAGTGACCATTTGAAATGTGGGAATGTTAGCAAACGCTCATGCACACGCAGCTTGGCTTGCACAAGTTGAGTGGTGTCTGCACGTACCTGCATGCCATCTCGTTGCTTGTGCAAGTTGAGCTGCGCACTTGCATGCACTGGCCCTGCTGCTTGCGCCATCCAATTTCCCTCTACCCCGTCCCACTGGGGACACCAACCTGCAAAGGTTGGAGGCCAGTGCTTTAGGATGCATCTCTCTATAGGTGGAACAACACCATCTTTCTCGCTTTTTGAACTTGCATTTTTTTAGGAAGACTTTTTCTGTTTCTTTTAAGAAACATTTAACTCTTCACATCTTCAACTGCTAAATGTCCCAATTTTTACCAATAAATTTGGGTATAAGATAAATACCCACCATCTGGTATTTGCTGATATCAAGCCCTGGGTGGGTAGGTATTAAACACTTGTGAAATGCATAGTATCCCACTCAGGCTAGGAGACACCACTGGCTGCCAAAATTGAATATCTCCCTACATATATTGTATGTAAACACATTCCACAACAACTGAACAGTGACTATGACTTCACTAAAGCATTGTCATCTCTACGAGGCAACATTTTTGCTCTTATTCTTTCCAGAAATGGATTTGTCACCATCGTGAAATTACCACACCCACAACTACTTTAATAGCTCTAGAATTGAGCTATTAGAAGGGCCTCTGTATCTTTTAAATGCATATCATTGCTTGCTGATTCTTATCTATCTTTTCACTTGCAAGACACAAGAAGACACAAATAGAAACCATGGAAGAATTCAAGTTCTGATCAAGATTTTTGCATGGCTCTCCAAAATCTGTATATTTACTGGGTTTAACTGCATTAAACGCAGCGATTAATGCGGAAATTTGAAGTTGCCTTACTTATTATTACTGATTTTTCTGTAATATGTAATGAGAACCAGTTTGATCTAGTGATTAATGCATCAGACTAGAAAAATCAGGTGAGAATTCTGACCTAAGCATGAAAGCTCACTGGGTAATTTTGGGCCAGTCGTTTTCTCTAAGCCCACCCCACCACATGTGATTCTTGTGGGAAAAATAGGAGGAAGAAGGAGGATTATATCATGAATGTATTTTGCAAACTCATGCCTTTTGAATTTTTAAAAGTATAACTTTTAACAAATTTCATTTTATTCTTTTTTAAAAAAATACAATGTTCGCTGCCTTGAGTTACTTATAAAGTAATAAAGGCGGGTTAAACATCTAATCTAATAAATAAATATATAGAACTTCAACATTAGGCATTTCTGAGACTGCTGGATAATGGTCTGTATATAAAGATCATCATGAAGATAGAAAGTTAGACAACAGAACTAAAGAAAAAACAGAAATATCTGGGAAGAATTAGGTTTAAAATTTTAACTATATCTGACTAACTGAAATCACATGAAATAATTCCAGTATAAAAATGCCTTCCGTTCTGCTAGTCCAAGTCTCTTGCTTGTGTGTGTGTGTGTGTTGGGTGTGTGTCCATGTGATATTTCAAAAATTACTACTGCTCCCTTCATGTATGACAAGATTTGAGGCTTTCTTGTCCTCTAGATGGCAATATTGACTAATGCTTTCTTTCCCACACTGCTTGGGACACAGGAACTCCGTACAAAATATATCCTAAATAAAATTGTAGATTATTCTATTGAATATAAAACTGACAGGACTGATATTTTAAAACTTGAAACTGACAGGCTGCTATTTTAATGAGGTCTGCCAGAGCCAAGGTTAACCAAAACCTTCGTTCATTACAAAATGTTAAGACCTCAATTCGCAGCAAGTGAAGGAAGAACATTACGCCTAGTGATATCTTGACAGGGTTCTCAAAATTGCATCGTGAATGTGTTTTGCAAACTCATGCCTTTTGAGTTTTTTTTAAAAAGTATAACTTCCAACAAATTTCATTTTATTCCTTTTTTTTTTTTAAAAAAAAAGATAAAACACAACATGGGTAATTAACAAATGACTATTGCGTTAGAGGGGTTACAATAACATTAAGCAAACATTTATTCTAAAGAGGCTTTCTTTTGTAATTAAAAAAAACTGAAAGAAATACAAACAACAAAATACACATTTTAAATTGATAGTAACCTCATACTTTACTTAAGAGCTCTGATGTGGAAGCAATTAGCTTGCTAATATCAATTAGGGTATTAAGAGCCACGTTGGGCCACATCAAAGATAGACTGAGTCAATTTTTCTGTTCCTACATCAACTATCCAAATACCTTTGAGAAGGGTTTGGTGATCAGGATTTCATGGCAGGAATGCTCTTATTCTAGGAATTCTTGTTTAATACTTAATTCTTCTTGAGTATGCATGTGTAGATAGATAGAT